GCCCACGCGCTGCCGGTGCGTGGGGCGGGGTGTGGGCACTGTAGTTGAGGGGCATTTTTGTCCCACTGCGATCCTCTCGATGTCACGAGTGGATAGATGTGCTCGGATCTCATTTTGGGTACCGTTAGAGTCCCGAACGGATATCGCATATCGCGTATTTTTCGAGTTCGCTAGGTTTGGACCGTTGGATGGTCCTGAAGTTATAATATGTTGATCTAGGTATTACCAGGATCGTGTAGGATTCAACGGATCGTAAAACGGAGTCCCAGATACTCCGGAAATGCCAACCCTAGGGCTAGGGTTTTAGTGACCGTCCGATCGTGCGATCGTGAGCGATCCGACCGTCGGAACTGGACCAAACTTGCAGGACGTGTGTCCTAAACCTTGTAGAACCTATAGGAACTGTCAGATCGGAATTTGGAGGTTGTGGGCCCCGCGGGCCCGTTTGACCCTAGGTTGACCGTGAGACTTCTGAGATAGTCTTACCTTTCTTTGAGGGTTAGAATGACCTTAGTGACAGGTCTTGAGCGTTGTTGAGTTAAATGGATATGGTGGGTTTAGGATATAAATTGATGAATTTAAATGAGAGAGTTTATGGAATGCTTTATTGGTTGAGGTTTATATAGGATTAGAAATTATATATTATATATTAAATTGTGTGGATGTATAAAGGTATATAAAGGGATCGAATGTTAGTTTACAGTGCCATACGCACTACCCCACGTACCCCCCCATATTGTGATTATGTTGAGGCCTTTAAACCCGTGCGGCTGGTGAGAATATAGCTAGGCCCAAAGTGAATAGTATGATGGCTGGTGAGAATGTAGCCAGGCCCAAAGTGAACAGTATGCGGCTGGTGAGAATGTAGTCAGGCCCAAAGTGAACGATATGATGGCTGGTGAGAATGTAGCCAGGCCCAAAGTGAACAGTATGCGGCTGGTGAGAATGTAGTCAGGCCCAAAGTGAACGATATGATGGCTGGTGAGAATGTAGCCAGGCCCAAAGTGAACAGTATGCGGCTGGTGAGAATGTAGTCAGGCCCAAAGTGAACGATATGATGGCTGGTGAGAATGTAGCCAGGCCC